TTGTACTTTTACTTAAGTACAGTGTTTGAGTACTTTCTCCACCACTGAACTTAATGCTGTTCTATGATTTTGTAAGTAGTTTTCTCTTGTTTCTGATTGCTTGTTGCTTTATTTTTTTATTCATTCAACTTTTATTTATACAAGTTAGTCACACTGAGTCACAAGAACACATTTACAAGAGAGACCTGTGTTAGACATATAACATATAGAGTACAGACAACAATAAAAAGCAATTAAATTTCATTTCCTGTTCTGTTTTTATCTGGTGTAAAGCACTCTGAGTTACACTATGTCAATGAAAGTCTCTTTATAATATTTGATCTGATTTGTGCATTTGAGGAAGAAATTATTTCATTAAATTAAAAAAAATATAATAATTTGATGTGTGTTGTACAAAGTATTTGAACCTCTATATAAAAGGAGCCTTTAAGGACCTCAACAAGTAAAACCATAACACAAATTTCTTCTTTGCGCATTTTATTCATTTGAGGAAATGATAAGATTTAACTTTTTATTCATTCTTTGTTTTTCACTTAAATTCAAGTTAATCCCAAGTTGAAGCTGCAGGTCTCCTCCAGCCTGACTTTAAAGGGGCATTTCAGATATTTTGAAACACAGTTCTGTGGAACCGTTACGAACATATATGACGTCACTTGCTGTAAACATATAGGACCTCAGTTTGAATACATTCTTACTGAGCTGACAAGCTAACAGCCATTTGAAGTGAAGCAAAGACCAAAGTGAACAAGTTCACAATGGTTCACAAGAAGCCACAGCCCTACAAGATTGTCACTTTAACATTATATATAAATTTATAGCCTGGCTGCCGATTGGTCATGCAAATGTCAATTGACATGTAATGGTGTTACACGAAGCTGACAGTGATGCAAATGTTTATTAAGTCATTTTTAAGTAGCATCTATGGCATGTCTGAGCTTGGAGTTGTTTTAACATGGCAGCAACACTCTTTGGTCTTGACCCCACTCTGATTAGGTGTTGTCTGATTTCCATTTCTCCAGACTGGTGGCTCAAAAGAAAATGATCCACAACAGGTAAGATGTTATTTAACCATAGACTTTCCTCAGGACGCCACTTCAAAACCTGTGAACTACAGCTTTAAGCTTGGTCCCTGACTTCAAAGATTCAGTGTGTTTGCTATATTCAAAATCTGCCAAACGGAAGACATTGAACGATTCAAAATGTAATGTCTGCATTTACTTAAACAATTTGCATTTAAACCAGTTAATGCAGTTATTGGTTTATAATCAGACTCATAATAACTGAGGTTATCACCTGACTCCTCTGGTCCTGAGGTTAGTTCTCTTCTCAGCTGTTCTCCTTCTTGAGATAGTGACACCAGCTACGCCCTGTTGCCATGGTTACCCTACACGGTGTAGTTGTCTCGGCTGCCACAGAATCAATCATGTGTCATCTTTAAAGCTGACAGGTGGCTGAGTCAAGGTGAGCATCACCTGTTAAAAAAAAGCAGAAAGAAAAGAAGAAAGTAACAGTTCTAAAGGCAGTAATAAAAGGTCTTATCATAGCTTAACTGAGTTATTAAAGCCAAAAAAAGCTAAAAGTAGCACAACAGTAGGCACAAAAAGCAAAAGGCTAAAGCCAAAAACAGTAGATAATAAAATTACAAAAACAGAGCATTATGATGAAGCAGATCTCAAAGAGAACAATGTATCTGAAAGAATCAGAGATCTAAAGTATTTAATAATTTATTTAGTATTTAATAAACACTGGGCTCACCTCGATGAAGAAAAACACGTTGAGGGAAAAGCTTTGAATGTATAGCAAACATTAAAGCAGTGTGAACAAATTTAGAGGTAAATTAGCTTTAAAAGAGTCATCAATGCCTGCCACTGCTTGTGTTCGTCTGTCTGTTAGCAAAATATCTAATGAAACAGTGGGCAGTTTTTTTTTTTAAAACTCTCAGAACGCAGTCATTGACATAACTGATTACCCTTTGGAGTCAGCGTGATTCAAGATGGCCACCACAGCTAATGAAATTTATATATAACCTACACTCTACCACTTTTACTGATATTAGGCTGAAATTACGGCTGAGAGTCGTTGCCAACACATTTGCCAACTGCTGACAGATCACATGCAATCTTTGCTTAAAGCTTTGGCATAATGGACTCAAGTTTATCTGTTAGCAAAATATCACATGAGCCATTGGATGGACTTTAACAAAACTTTCAGAAAGTAATCATTGGATAATCTACAACTGTAACTTGACGAGTTAGTCCGATACAAGATGGACGCCCCAGCTAATCGAGTTTAGTTAATACAAAGGTAACGATGAGTTTTACATAAACTCAGCTAAAATTTGGTGATGTAGTAGCCGAGACTCATCCCCATCACACACTGCATACGCTAACAGCTCACACTTAAGTTCTTTGTTTTATGTTGGTTTGTCATGCAAGACAGTGGGATACACCCCCACCCACCCCAAGCAGGGGTGAATCTAAAATCTGCCCTTTAGGGGTGCTCAGCCCTTTGGCTTGAACAACACAGTGGCCATTGGTGTCAGAAGCATTTCTTATGTGTGGGGGATATTGTGGGGGGTCTGGGGGTCCTCCCCCAGAAAAATTTGAATGAAGTAGATGCCATTTTATGCATTCTGGTGTATTTTAACGGATCGTTAAACATATGTTTACCTACATATGTAAACACTTGATTCAATAGCTACTTTAGAGTTAATGGCACAACAAGAAGTAACCTGACCAACAGCTCTCCTTGTGTGAATAGAGCACGCTACCCACCCTCCACCACCGTCCCACAAATGCCAACATCTGTACTGTGGCAAACAATACAGACACACTAGGCTGGATTGGATGGATGGACAGGTCGTATGAGGAAATGACTCCTGCAAAGAAAAAAAAATCATAGATTTTACTGGCCCGTTCATCATTTATTCCAAATTTATTCAATATTTTTGGTGAATCTACTGAGTTTCATTACAAAATTCTAATGATGGTTTCTTAATTTTTCAAGGGTGCCGAGTTAAAATTTAGGGGTGATTGAGCACCCCCCCACTGCGCCCAAGGAGTGCTGTTTTTCTACTTCTACTTCATTCCTCCTTTGCTTTTAAACACGGCGGCTCTGACCAGGTGTTCATGAATAAAGATGCAGAAGAGGAGACCTGCTCTCATTTGACCACGTGTCACACGAACACGAGCTGCACACCGGCCGGAGGCAACAACACGATCCCCCAGAACCGAGTGACATCAAAGCTCTCCGCCGCGGATGACCCAGAAACTGAGCGCGTGCTGTCGGCGCCGTGTGCGTAAGCAGCAGAGCTGACACATGGTCCTCCCGGCGACTATTTACGTTGCTGGTGTCAAAATGGAGACTCGAAACAGCTTCTTTTTAAATTTTTTTTTTTTTTTTTTTTTTTAAACGAACGCAGCGATTAAAGAGAAACGCGTCTTGCGTGGTGCGTTCAGGAACAATTTGAAACGCGCCGCTCATGAATAATCCGCGGAGTGAAAAAAACGGCACCCCTTCCCCACAAAATGTGCGGACAGAACAATCAGTTCCAAACGCTCACTAAGGCGCGTGCCAAGCAGCTCGCGCGCGCTCTGGCTTCGCAACAGACACCCCACTAACATCATCATCCTGGACTGGTGCGTGCGGGAGGCGGAACCCGAACACTCCTCACATCCTACTTTTGTTCCGTCTCTTTGGAGGATTACTTGGACAGTTAAGCGGGAAAACAGATGACAGCGAGGCAGCCGGCAGGGAAGGACTGAAAAGATCCCAGACCGAACCGAACCGAGCCCAGGAGAGCTGTGTGTGGAGATATTTGGAGTTGAAGAAGGGCACCTCTGCTGCCACTTTCCTGGTAAGAGTCTAACCTTGATGTGATCCCTTTAAAGACTTCATGTAACCCAAGAACATCTGTGTGCAAATGTGCACCAGCAGCCTGAAGTAATGTTATATTATATGAGCTGCATGTAGGTGTTCTAACATGATGTACTTCATATTTCCTTCACAGAACCTGCTTGTTCTTCTCACTGAGTCTTTTACATCTATAATAATTATAAATATAAATAAATATCTAATGAGCTGTTCATAGGAGAGAAGAGTCAGATCAATAAAACATTTTTATGTAACTTTTAGGGAGAAAAGTCATTTAAATGTATTCTTATGGCTGTTTTTTTTTTTTTTTTTTTACCCTATATTACTCAAAATTATATCCAAATTGCAACGTGTAGGATTAGATTTGATGTTGGTTTATTTTTATTTTTGGATTTTGCAGCTTCCCACAGGTAAATAAATGTTGGGTCTGGGGTGTCGTGTTTGAGCTCTGGTGAGGCTACAGGTGCCATCTGCTCCTCATGTTTGGTGATCCTTCATAGCCTGAGCAGGGAATTCACACGTTCATTGGAGGAAAATCATAACTCTCTGCGCTGATGCAGGAATTAAATATTTGTATTTGCTTGACCAGTGGAAGTAGACATATATATAATAAGTTAAAAACATGATTTTATGGTAAGCCAAACAAAAAAAAATTGCTTTCATTTACAAAGAAATACACATACTATTAATATTTATTTTGATTTTAATGCACAGATATTAGAGGATGGACTGACAAGTGAACATTTAAGCTCAAACTTTTAATTGATCATAAGCATTATGGTTAATTTTTACGATGACCAACAGAAAGTCCGCACGCAGTTTTATAACCATCTGCAGAGGACATCAAGGACCAGGTTCTTCATATATGTGCTGTTCACTCACGGAGCAGAAGTTTGTCCTTTAAAAGACGTTCAGCTGACAGATATGGACGTTACAAACAACCTGTCAAAGAAGAAAAAAGAAAAATATGTAATCATATTTTCTTATCAGCTCCACAAGACAAACTCAACTTTAGCCCCAGGAAAAAAAAAAAAAAAAAAAGCATATTCTAAAATAATTGTGCCTGTTGCACAGAATATTATGCTGAAGCTGATGTGAGCCTGCTGGATATTCACAAACGTTTGTTTCTGAACAGCGTTACGTTGAAAAGAGAGACTGATGGCGAAACGAACCTACAACGTGTTTCATTTTTAACAAGCGTAAGTTTTGAGGAATTCCTCCCACAACTAACTGAACCTGGTCCCCCTTTTCATCCCTGACCTGTTTTAATGGAGGGGAGAAAGAAATAAAGATCATAGTTTTAGGCATTTAAACAGCAGGAAACTGTATAAAACAAATACTGGTGTTTTTGACACTGTGGCCTTTCAACACCGTTATATACCTTAACTGTTTTGTTTGGCCTAATTATATCCACCATCCAGGTCATGCTAGATTAGGGTGTGATTAAATTAACACAACAATAAATGTTGTCTTTAAATTTGTTAAGATCATATCTGATTTATTCAGGGTGCATTTAGGCCACGCTGCTTTCACAGAATCGTCTTATTACAACACATATCTTAACAGTTTTATTATGGATGATTTTCAGCCTAAAATAAGGTCACAATGCTTAAACTCTAGTTGGATAAAATGATTAGACTCTGAGCAGTCAGATACGCAGGACTGAGAGGCAGATTAGCAGCGTCCATAGTTTCTTTTAGATTTTTGTTTTTCTTCATTATCTAGTGGTTGATTTGTGCTCTGCGGTCTGTTCCCTGTGATATCGCACAGTGAATATTTGTAGAGCGGTTGAACAAACAAGGGACGAAGATTGAAAAAGAGTTTTATAAAGGGAAGTAAAATAAAGGTTCTGAATAGTTTTGAGCAGCAGGATTTATTATTTCAGAAGGCGACTATTGTGTGCCTGTACATGGACAGACAGTAATCACTGGCTGTTCATCTACAGCTGATTAACTTTTGGAGTCCAATCAACTCTATATGGCCGCTACAGCCAACTGACCTAAAACATGCCCTGAAAGAAAAAATAATAATCAAACTTTGATTATTTGTTAAAAAGTGGACCAAAATGGATATAATTCAGTCAGTTTTACACAAGTTGACTTAAATTGCAGTGTGTTTGGAGCTAACCCAAGAGGAGAACCACAGCCACCTAAAAAAACACATAAATTACCGTAATTTCCGGACTGTTGAGCACACCTGAATATAAGCCACGCCCACTAAATTTAAAAAGAAAAGAAAAGTTGTGCATATATAGGCTACGCTTGTCTATAAGTTTCAAGTGTCCACGCTGTAACATGAGATATTTACACAAAAAGGTTTTTTAAACTTTTAATTAAGTACGGACCGGTAACATGCGTACTGTAAAAGTTTTATTCTGAACAGTGCCTGTGAGGAAGGGAGGATGGAGGACAGCTTGTGCTGTCATTTTAAATGCACGAGTCACACTTATTCTTCAGGTCTCTCTTGTAAATGAGTCCTCGAGGCTCAATGGGATTTACCTGTATAAATAAAGGTTGATTGATTATTTCAAGTGGCTGCAAATACGTTCCCCTCACCCTGGAGGCACAACGAGGAGGGGAGGCGAGAACAGGAGTGGAACCCAGTTCCACTGGTCCACTGTGACCTGTACGGTAATTTCATTGGTCTTTTTTTTTTTAACCTTTATTTATACAGGTAGTCTGAATCACGTGGGTGCGGTCTTCTCGGAGTCCGGTTGGGAAAAAGAGATGTGTAATGGACAGCTATGTGAGCGCCCGGGTGTGACGAAGATAAATGTTTTGACTGCGTCAAGCTCGTTAGCTCGTCAAAAAAAAAAAAAAATCCATAAATTAGCCGCAGGGTTCAACGAGTATGAAAAAAGTAGCTGCTTATAGTCCAGAAATGACGGTACTATAACGCAGTCAGTTTTACAGTTGTTGAGCCAATATTTGGTGTAGCTGAGAGTCATTCACAACACATACCCTGAGTGGGACATCTTGTGATCTTGGGCAAGATCACAAGATGTCCCACTTAATGCCATTTCAAGTTTTTTTTTTCCCCTCAGCTACAACTTTGTCATTCCTCAATGATTTTAGTTTAAATTTCTGCAAGGTGGCGGGTGGGATGAAATCTTTTTAATCCCCAGTTTTTGAGCTTCAACATGATGCATTCACAGAAAATATTACCATTATGCATTCTCAAAGGACTGATTAAAGCACCTTCAGATTCCATTTTCGCACGCAATCATTTTTTCTGTTCTGTGAGTCGTGTATTGATCTCCTTATTTTGGCTGCCCCTTCAGAGTTTTCTGTCATTGGATTGGGATTTGGACCGCCGGCGTGGTGCTGTGGCATGTGACAAAGTCAGCAGTACAATATCTACCGTGGTGGTCACACACACTGCGTGAATGAATGAATGCATTGCTGTGCTCACTTCCATCGCCATGTGACGAGGAGGAAGCAGGAGAGAAATGGGTCGCAGAAGCCGGCAGAAGTGTGGCACTTTGTTTTGGGCCACATGATTGAGGGGAGACAGAGGTGGCATTGAGGAGACGGGTATGAGAAAGGGCTTATTGGATGGAAGTCTGCTTCCCGGCCAATTGTTCATTCTCTTTGTGTGTAGGTGCAACCTATCAATGTGTTAGTGTAGTCTTTTGTTTCTTGGTCTCTAGAAAAATCTAACAAAGTTGAGTCAGGTCCTCTGGACGGTTTCTTCTTGTTGAAACGTTTCGTCTTCCATCAAAAAGACTCCATCAGTCCGAGGAGCCGCAACAAGCTCAGTCTTTTTCTACCTGGATTACTGAGCATGAATCAGGATATTTTGAACCACTTTGCCTCAAACGAGTCGGCGGGAGAGAGGGCGGACTACAGAAAACACCTGAGCACCATCAAACTAGTTGACCCACTATGTGAAGGTGCTATTTATAAGACTGAGTTTGTTGCGGTGCCTCGGGCTGATGAAGACTTTTGGATGAAAGACTAAACATTTCAACAAAAATAAACTGCTCAGAGGACCTGGTTTAACTTTGTTAGATAATAGCAGAACTCATTTTTCGTTTAGGGGATTAACGTTTAACTTTGGAAACTGTTAGCAGAATTAGCTTCCGCTGAATTAGGTTTTGCCAACTTTAAGTTGGGGAATCAGAAGCTCAAAAAAAAAAAAAATAATAATCAATAGCAGAGTAAGTATTGGTTCAGAAGTTTTGGTAATTTTTTTATAAGCACAGCCCACATCCTCCAACTCTGCTGCTCAATCCAAAAGTGTATTTTTTCCCCAAAATATGGCTCCGTTTACTGGGAAGTAAACAGGCTTTCCTAAGGTAAAAGATTTATTGCCAAAAAGCATAGTTACAATGAAGAAACAATTGACCAAATACACATTTCTTACTTTTTGCGCTATCTTTATAATATCAAAGTTCATGCTCAATAATCCAGGTAAAAAAATCCAACAAAGTTAAGTCAGGTCATCTGGATAGTTTCTTTTTTTGTTGAAACATTTCGCCTTTCATCAAAATGACTTCTTCAGTCCGAGGAGCCACAAATAAACTCAGTCCCATAAGTAGCACGCTCACATAGTGAGCCAACCAGTTTGATGGTGATAAGATGGTTTTTGGTGTCCACCCTCTCCCCCATCAACTCGTCTGAGGCAGCCATGGCCAAAGTGGTTCAAAACATCAACGTTCATGCTCAATAATCCAGGTAAAAAAATCCAACCGAGGATATATATCTAACCAGGCCTTGGCCATGACTGCCTCAGACGAGTCGACGGGGGAGAGGGCGAACTCCAGAAACCATTTTATCACCATCAAACTGGTTGGCTGGTCCTCTACAGTATGTGATTGTGCTGCTTATGGGACCGAGTTTGTTGTGGCTCCTCGGACTGATGAAGTCTTTTGGATGAAAGACAAAACATTTCAACAACAACAAAAAAAATAAAACCACCCAGAAGACCTGACGTAACTTTGTTGTATCTTTATAACACACTCAGGAAACGCCAACAGTTTAT